GGAAGGAAGGAAGGAAGGAAGGAAGGAAGGAAGGAAGGAAGGAAGGAAGGAAGGAAGGAAGGAAGGAAGGAAGGAAGCAGCTGCCAGAAGTGGAGCTATTGTCTTAACCAACAAAAGATCAGGAACGCAGGACTATAATCCTAGCTACTCAGGAGATTGAGATCTGAGGATCATGGTTCAAAGCCAGCCTGGGTAGGAAAGTCCCCATGAGACTCCTCTCTCCAATTAACCACCAGAAAACCAGAAGTGGCACTATGGAACAAAAAAGCTCAGGGACAGTGTACAGGCCCTGAGTTCAAGCCACAGGAGTAGCATAAAAGACAAAAAAGAAAATCAAAACAAAAAGAGGCACATAAACAAACACGCTAAAGACTAAATATCTGTTTGAGAAATAGCAAGGCTTCAAACTTAACATCTTTTCCAGTGAGATAGATTGAATACTTAATTGCTTTTGTATTCATTAAAGAACAATATCTTTCAGATTTCACATGTCATTATCATGTATCTTCTCTAATTTCTGATTTTACCAGTTGACAGCATCCTATGTATAATGAAATATCCCAGAGTAAATAGAAAATCTGCTCAATGAAAGAGATGCTTAGGTTGAGTTAGCTACAGTTGTGTTGAATTCTGGGTAATAGGATGTTTGGTTATTGTAATGTTTATTAACTATAAATGGATGTTTGGGTTCAATTAATTGCTTTGAACAATAAATGGATAATTTGGTAGCTTTGTTTTTCTGAGCCCAAGTGAAAGCTAAACTAGTAGTAACCCTTTTGAAAAACAGAGCGCTCTCTCTCTCTCTCTCTCTCTCTCTCTCTCCTTATATTTTGTCAGTTTAAAGAGCTAGACCTTTGTAAATGATATGGGAAACTGAGGAAAGCTTGCCTGCAGAGTAGACAAGCCTGGAACAGTTCTTGCAGCTTTGTGTCTCTGATCTCTCTTATAAAGTTATCTTCCTCATCTGACTTTACCCATTTCCCCTTCTACTTCAAGGTACTGCCGAAAGATAAACATTCAACAACGTTAGATAATGAACTTCACTGGCTTTTGGTTGCCATCATTAAATCAACAGCATGTAATAAATATACAGAGATGCCACACTGCTCATGGCAGAACAATTCATTTTTAAGGCAGCTTAGGCAGAAACAAGGAAATAATTGAAACTGCAGACTGGTCGCTTCCCATTGCTTGCCTTGTAGGGTTAAATCAGAGAGGACTTCTTTATCATGACCTGTTTGGGGATTTCACAGTCTTCTCTCTTCTGATTTTTTCAGAAAGTCTGGTAAACAACTTGGTTTGGGTTTGGCGATGTGGAACTTCAGCATGAATGACAGCATGAATGGTTTGGTCTATGGGAGCCTAGTTCAGGAACTCAGTCCAGATCAGTGGCTTCCATTACTTTTCTATTTAACATGAATAAAGACTTTCTTGGCTTAGAAACTTCAGGATTCCATACGAACATATTTTTTTTTCTTCTTCTTCTTCTTTTTTTTTTTGCTTATGTGGTGCTGAGGAATCAAACCCAGGGCCTCAGGCATGCAAGGCAAGCACTCTACCACTGAGCCACCTTCCCAGCATATGAACATATTTTTGCCCCACTGAAAATAGGATTCTGATTTGGCAGATTAAAAGAAAGGCTCTGAAATCTGCCTTTATATGAACTCTGAGGAGATTCTGATGCTAGAGTCTTCGAATCACCCTTTGAGAAAGCCCCAGCTAATATACTCATATGTGATACTTCTTTTAGCTCATCACAGGTAACTAGCTTTAGCTAGTCTGTGTTAACTAACATAGGTATTTTGAACTTGTTCTTTCAGATCTCTGAACAGAATTAAACGCACAAACAAATTTTTGCCAACTTGGTTGGTGGCAGTACTGTGGTTTGAACTCAGGGCGTGGATGCTGTCCCTTAGCTTTTTCTCTCAAGGCTGGCTCTCTACCTTTTGAGTCTCAGCTTCACTTCCAGCTTTTTAGTGGCTAATTAGAGATAAGAGTCTCACAGATGTTCCTGCCTGGGCTGGCTTCAAACTATGATCCTCATATCTCAACTTCCTGAGTAGCTAGGATTACAGGCGTGAGCCGCCTAGAGTCTGGCTTAAGTCTTTCCATAATACAAGTGCAATATTGCTTACTAAGATCGACATTGGACAGTCTTTTGGATACTGACTTTGATTAAAATTTTTGTTTGCATTTATATTTTTATGCTAATTACACATGTACAGTTAACAGTCTTTCTCATTGTTTCTCATTGCTTCAGTTAAGCTATCAAAATTTTAACTAAGCAATTTCTGAATAAAATAGATCAAATTTTAAAAGAGAAAATAAATTTAGAAATCTGTAAATTTATCAGAGACCAAGTATATTCACCTGAACTTTCTTTTTTTTAAAAAAATGCACAAAATACTTTTAACTTTACAAGTGAAAATCCTACATTGGCTTTTTATTTGAACTTAACCTTCAGATAACAAAAAAGTAAGAGATCGTGATTATCGTAAGTATTGCTTGTAGAAATCTTTGCAAACTCAGCATGATAGATGATTACAGGATTAAGAATCAGGAAAATCAAGTTATATTCCTGCAAATCTGTTTTACAGCAAATCTGCTTTACTCCTTCGGCTTTTCTTAATCTATGAAATAGAAGTATTAAGGTTGATATTCTCTGGTAACTCCCCTTCTTATGTTTTATTTTCTTTACTTATTCTTGCTGTATTGGTGTGGGGGGGGTTGGGGTTCAACACCCAGGGCCTTGTACATGCTAGTCAAGCACTCTATCACTGAGCTACATCCCCAAGTCCTTGCTAGCCTCCGTCTGTGCCTAGTCCCACTCTTCTACTCTAGACAGGTCTCATTATGGAGCCTATGCTAGCCTTGAACTAGATACCCTGATCTCTCAAACCTTCTGAGGCTTGGATTACAGGCATGTTAATTGGAGATAAGAGTTTCATGGACTTTTTGACCAGGCTGGCTTTGAACTGTGAGCCTCAGATCTCAGCCTCCTCAGTAACTAGGATTACAAGCGTGAGCCACCAGCACCTGGCATGTATCTTTGTTCCATATTTTTCATTGATGAACTTCTCAGGCTAGTCATGTTCTTGACTCCCATTTATAGTATCAGTAACACCAAGCCCATGCCTTTAGCAGTAGTGGAGTACAACAAATGCCCAATATACCTGCCCACCTTGTGTTCCCCTAACTGGGGTGTTTAGGTTTTCTATCTCCAGTCAGCTTGCTCACTTGCTGCTTCATTTATTTATCTTGCCAGTCCTGGGGCTTGAACTCGGGGCCTGAAGCACTGTCCCTGAGCTTCTTTTGCTCAAGGCTAGCACTCTACCACTTGAGCCACAATGCCACTTCCTTTTTTTCCCATTTATGTGGTACTGAGGAATCAAACCCTTGGCTTCGAGCATGGTAGGCAAGCACTCTACCACTAAGCCCAGTCCTCTAGTCAGCTTTAAAGATGGAACTCAAATAAAATGTCAGCCTGGGCTAGCTCTTCCACTCTCCCTTGCTGCTGCTGATTTTAATGATACCTAATAATAACCATCACTCTTCAGTGACAGACATAGGCCCAGAGCAGTTGCTATTCTCTTCTCTGTGGCTGTGATGATAATGTGACCTGAATTCAGGCACTATGAAAGGTCATTTTAGGAAATGGCCAAACCCAGAAGATTAATTAATCTTCTGCTGATCTTTAGATCTTTAGCTTCAAACTAGGCCAAAGCAAGCGCTCTGGATGCCGCTGCTGGCCTCAGCTGACACCGCTTCTCAGAGCCACACACAGCGGCTAATTACCTTTGAGATCAACTAAAGCTCCTAATCATGGAGGTTAGCCTTTGCAGCCAGTGGCCCTTCAATGGCTGTCTGATGGACCTGCCACCCTCCTGAGATTTCTGTGGACTCCACCCTGCCCAGTTCTGAAGCAGAATATATGGCATTATCTAGCCAGCTGGACCCCAGCACATCTTTCTCTTCTGCCACAAATGATATCATCTCATCCACAAGGCCTGGCCAGTCTCTTTCATCCAAATACATTCTCTCTAATCATTCTCAAAAACTAAATATTTGCCATCACCAGCATTTAGCACCTAGCAATAATAATAAACAAAAATAAAATGTTGCTTTATGAAGCATTCACAAGATCACATTTAATTTTCTTAACAATCTCTTGGGCTATGCAGAACAATTATTTTCCATTATACAGATGAGGAAATGCTTCTGAGGGAAAGGACAACACAGGCAGCAAGAGATTAAGACTGAGACTAAAGCTCAAGCCTTTTGATTGCTGGATTCATCTCCTTATTGAATGTATATGGGGTATGTGTGCATGTATGTACATGTACTTGTGTACATGCAGATTTAATGTGTGTATATATTTATATTTAATATATAATTAAATAAATATATACACACATATCTATATTTAACATGTACACAATTTATTTGTGTGTATAATATTTAATATATACAAAATAAATATAAATATATTTAATATGTGTACATGTAGCATTCCTATGAGCTTTTTGGAATTTGTATAAAATCCAGTTATAATTTGGCTTTGTGTGTTAATTATCTTTCTCTTTAGTGAATTCTTAATAGAATGGAATCGACTGCTTCAACTTCTTCCAAAAAAAAAAGTTCCCAAAATATTCAGAATAGAAGTTTATTCTTCTGTCTTAATAAATATGCAAGAGAGAAAATACAAGAATGGCCATTCTATGTTACTGTAATCATAAGTACAATTTTTTAAAATCCACTTAGACAGAACATAACTTGTTGATATTCTTCTCCATCTTTGCCCCTTTAAAAATAAGGGGCTGACTTTCTTTCACTCTATTGAAAGTATATTCCTTTCTTCATAAACTTGCCTATTATTTTAAATAAAAAAAGTAAAATCAGCCAATCCAAATCCACAAACTAAAGACTTGTATAAGCCATCAAACCGTCTTCTTTGAAAAGCTCTGTGGCTTTTTATTTAGCAGCATCAGTGCATTGACCGGTCTTCCTGGGGCTGTTCTTTATTGCACACTATGAATAGATCTCCAGGCTTTTAAGTCTACTTTTCCGTAGCTTTTCCCTGAAGATCTTTGCAACTAATCAGTATATCTGAGTTCTTCTTCCACTTGTTCTAAGAGCTCAAAGAAGAGCTAGAAATAATAGACTAAGTCACATGGACTGCTGCATAGAAACTAGAAAAACACCACAGGATGAATGGCCCTTCGAGAGGAACAATGCACTTAACCATATGAGAAATCCCACTTGACAACAAAGCAGCCTGCAAACAACTTACTGGAATCAGCGTCTCTAAACTACTTGACCTTGAAAGGGCTTCTCCCCAAATCGTTTTATTAAATCCTGTAGAAGTAGAGATTTATAGAACATGTTGGATAAATAAAAGTTTAGGCATATCTCGAGGAGAAATATGTTTTTGAATGTTTTTGTGTATGTTTGTACTTGTATTTTATAACAAAAATAAAACCAACGAAGTTATCTTTTGTCATACTCTCATTGAAGTTGCTTTAGTACTGATGCCTTAAAAACCCCCAAGTACTTCTTGCCAAATGAACTGGAGTTATGAGAATAACATGCAGCAAGGAACTACCCAGCCTCTACAGAAGTATATCTTTACATTTGGAGGGTAGCAGACCCATTGAGGATATGATGAAAGTTATCTATCAACAAAAGGAAAACAAGCTGGGCACCAATGGCTCATGCCTGTAATCCTAGCTATTCAGGAGGCTGAGATCTGAGAATTGCGATTTGAAGCCAGAAAACTCCATGAGATTCTTATCTCTAATTAACCCATAAAAGCCACATATAGAGCTGTGGTTCAAGTGGTAGAGTATTGGCCTTGAGTGAAAAAGCTAAGGGACAGTGCCCAGGCCTTGAGTTCAAGCCACAGTGCCAGGACCCCGCTCACCCCCCCCAACCCACCCCCACACACCACGTACACACAGTATTTTTCTTCCCTTGCAATTGCTAAGCTTCTGGCTTGAACAAGTAGACAATCTAAGCATCAAGTATACAAGTAATGCCTATATGCCAGACCCTATTGGAGGCACAAAGTGACTCACCAGAGTCCCGAGCACCACCGTCCATGCTGGGCTGTACAAAGGGATGCACTACTTGAAGTTCAGTGGGTGCTTCAATGGATGCGTTGAAGTTCATTCTAACCATATCCTTCCCAGTGTGTTTGTTGGCTATCCAGATTGTCTCCCTTTTCAGTGTTGAGTAGAAGATACGGTCACCAAAAAGGGACATAGCCAACAAATGGTGCCTGAAAACAGTCAGAAGAGGAATCAAGAATGGCTGACATTAGTTCCTTGGATTATTAAAGTTTCACTTTATTTTCTCTTTTGTTTTTTGAACTCAGGGCCTGAGCGCTGTTCCTGAGCTCTTTTGCTCAAAGCTAATACCATAGTTCCATTTCTGGTTTTCTGGTGGTTCATTGGAGTAAGAGTCTCACAAAGTTTCCTGACCAGGCTAGCTTTGAATGGTGATCCTCAGATCCCATCCTCCTGAGTAGCTAGGATTGCAGGTGTGAGCCACCAGTGCCTGGCCTTGTCTAGATTTGACTTTTCAAATTTTTTTTATCATTGGAACTTAGGAAAGTATATTAAATTTATTTATTTCTTTATAGTGTGAAATCACAGAATATAGGTTTTTTGTTTTTTGGGTTTTTTTTCTGGTCAGTTATGGGGCTTGAACTCATGGCCTGGGTGCTGTCCTTGAACCTTTTTGAGTGCAAGGCTAGTGCTCTACCACTTGAGCCATAACACCATTTTGGTTTTTTGAGTAGTTAATTGGAGAGAAAAGTCTCACCAGGACTTTTCTGCCCTGGCTGGCTTTGAAATGTGATGCTCGGATCTCAGCCTCCTGAGTAGCTAGGATTTACAGGCATGAGGCACCAGTGCCTGCAGAATATAGTTTTTAGTTCGAGATCCCTTTACATTCTTCTGTGCTGGTGGCTCATAATCCCAGCTATTTGGGAGACTGAGCTGTAAGGACTGGAATTCAAAATTAGCCAAGGCAGAAAATTCTGCAAGATCCCATTTCCAATTAACAAACAAAATTCTGGACTGGAGGCATGGCCCAAGCGATGCAGCACCAGCTGTAACTTGAGACACTGTAGCAAAGGAAGGAAGGAAGGAAGGAAGGAAGGAAGGAAGGAAGGAAGGAAGGAAGGAAGGAAGGAAGGAAGGAAGAAGGAAGGAAGGAAGGAAGAGAGGGAGGGGAAGGAGGTCAGGTCTGGCTGGCACCATATTGGTGGATGGTAGGATCTGGCATCTTCATGATGGAGGAAGGAAACTCCCCCAGCCATCACCTGCCCCCCAGGTGATGGGTGTGCCCCAATCCCTGGAGACAAGGGTGGACACTTGGCTGGTAAGTTACTGAATCTGTCAGTTCAGTGCCTGTGACTGGGTATTTCCTGTGGAGCTGCCCCCTGTTTGAACCCTATTTAGGCCTGGACCAGCCCAGATGCCCGTAAGCCATACCATATGTGTCTCTGTGATCATGTCTCCTGGCTCCTAGCTCATCTCCGGTCATCATGGCATCCCAATTCAGCTCTCCACAGGAGTTGAATTGGTTTGTTGGTATTGTTTTTGTTCTTTCTTTCTCTCTAGCTGTTTCCTAGCTGTGTTAAGTGTATTTGGGGGCTCCAGGCCTTTGTAACAACTGGCTGCCTGCAGCCTGTTAACTGTATAATAAAGACTCCAATATTCTATCTTCCAAAATGTGGCTTCTGGAATAATTACACCTTACAACAGAAGGAAGGAAGGAAGGAAAGAATGAAGGAAGGAAAGAAGGAGGGAGGGAGGGAGGGAGGGAGAGAAAGAATAGGATACAAGTAACTTCTGATTTTGTTAGTAGCTAGACAACACAGCAAGTCAAATGCAAGACGTTTCACAGAATACATGACAAAATGATTCCCAAAAGAATAGCATTGCCAATATGCAAGAGCTTACTTTTTTTTGTTTTTTTGTCTTTTTCTTTTTTGGTACTGGGGATCGAACCCAGGACGTTGCACTTGCTAGGCAAGCGCTTTGTCACTGAGCTACATCCCAGCCCAAGAGCTTACTTTTTTAAATAAGTTTTTTATTGTGAAAATACCATACAGAGGGGTAACAATGACAAGAGAAAGGTAATGAGTACATTTCATATCAAGCATTGTTGCCTCCTTTGTTTTCCCCCTACCATCCCTTCCCTCCCATCTCCACGACTACACTCCCTCCCCCAGCCCCCGCCAAAGTTGTAAAGTTTGTTTTTCAATATAACGTTTTGTATATCTCATTGTTGCAATGGGTCCACCTGTATCCCTATTTAAACAATTTGGTTTTTCCCTTCCCCTCCTCAAATTATACCAACATCAGATACAGTGAAAACAGAGGTTATACCCTGGGGGGAGGGACACACAAAGCAACACAAAAATCACCCTATAAATACATTAGCAACAATAGCAAGAAAGAAAAAACCACTTGTGTCCTATCTTGGGGTTCATTTTGCCTAACATGATCTGATCTGACCGTTTCTGCTTGTCTCAGACATATACTAGTTATTGCAAATAAGGGAAACCACGGGACCTATATTTCTTTGGGCCTGGCTATGCCAGTTACTCTCCTAATTAGTTTTACTTGCATTTATCTACTTAATCTTCACAATGATACTAAGAAGCAGGAATTATTATTCCCACATGAAGGAAACCTAAAAATGAGAAAAGTTACCAACCATAATGTGGCAAATCTGTTACAGAAAACCACAGATAAGAAAGTTACATAAACTACCCAAAGTCATCATCCAATAATTGGGTAAATCTGTTTTGGACCCTCTCCTCCAAAAAAAAATCCATGTGCTAAACTACTACAGCAGTTTAGTGAACAAAAGAAACAATTCATTACATAAACTTTGAGTGACCATTGTTATGCCATGAGCCAAACTTACCTTGTTTGCTGTGTAAGAAGATGGATTGAGCCTCCGTCATAATCACAGGACCAAATATGAGAACTACTGCCTTCTCTCTTTCTCTGAATCCAAAAGATCCGTTTCTCCAGCACATCTAACGACAAGGCTGTTATTTTCCCTGGTGTCTGTAACAGGGTCTTCACTTCCACACAGCCCAAATCTGCTCTGTGAAGGCTACCAGCTACCTCTGAAGACCAAAATATAAACCTGGGCAAACACATCACATAAACCCATAATTTTGAACAGATGCCACCCAAAGGTAGACTCACTATTTCATCAGACTGACTCATGCACAAGATCAGTTCAACTATTCTAAATGAGAACTGCATTCAACATGCACATATTGCCTGTTATGGAAACACCATGAGATTGGTGAGATTCCTGTGAGAGAGAATTCTGCTCTCTAGCAGAAAACTAGGAGCGTTTGTAGAGTTCAAAATCCAGGCAATTGCCCCACTGGAAATGGTGTTTGTGTATTTGTGTTGGAACAGAGGGCCTTGGTGTGAGAGAGAAGGTCCTTTCCTTTAAAGTGTTATGATTCCAGGAATCTTAATTAACTCTAAAATATATTTTATCATCTGAAAACAGCAGACTTTACCTTTTTACTGGATCAACTGCTATGTCTGCAGGATAATGTGAGGTGTTTACAAGTACTCGAGAATTGTTTCCTTCCATATCTGTTACTCTGATGATTCCTTCCTGTTGACTGAACCAGATCAATTCCTCATTTATCCAATTGATTGCCATTCCTGAAACATTTTTCTCGATATGGCACACTACCTGAAAAAAAAACATTTCAGAACTATTATGAATGTTTCCTGACTTATAACAAAATTGTTCTTGTCATTGTAAATTTAAAAGTCTATTCTTCTAAGTCCTTGTCATTTTTACGAATTTCCCCAAATCATTTAAGTGATAACATAGTGACAGATAAAGTACCTCTATTTCAATGTTGGCAAAAATATTTCCACCCCCACCCATGTAAAGGCCTCCAGGCATTCTATTTATATCGTGGCTTTGGAACTGAAAATGTTCCCATAATGACTCAATTAAGCAATCAACCATAACGTATTAATAAATTTAACTATAATAACTGCTTAAAGACAGTTTATTTAGTTCCACTTGTTAGTGTAATCTTTCAGATTACATTATCTGAACCCAATCCCAACCTTTGCCAAACTCTAGCAAGACTTCCTTGGAGTCTGAGCATAGAACTTGGAAGTGGAAATTTCCTTGGTGGTGCCCCAGTTTTCTTCTGCTCCCTCCTCCTCCATCAGACCCCTCCACTCCTACAGATCTTAGAGAACACAAGACCATGATCAGAGATACAGGGCTTCTCTTTACATGCCTAAGGCTCTGTCATGATGGAAATAACTAGAGGCCTCTCAATCTTGGATGGCTGTTGTGAACAGCTCAGGCAGTACTCATGGGGCTGGAGGGTCAAGCCCTGATTTGTATCCATGACAACCTTCATGTACAGAGAGTCTCAGTTCTTTGCGGGATGACTCTGAACTTAGGCTTAGTCAGAGATAGCACAGTTCCAGGCCCTAGGCTAGTCAACATCTCAAAGTAATTCAGCCAATCCATTTTAACAATTGCCAATAGACTTATATATCCACTCTCACAGGTAAATAATTGGCATTTTCAAGTTTTCCTTTGTAGACAAGATTTTAAGATAAAAGAATATAATGGTAGAATTTCAGTATAAAGCCAATCCATTCCTAACTCCTTGACATAAATTCAAAACAGTTTCTTTTCTTTCTTTCTTTTTTTCTTGTTCTATGACATAAAGCCTCTTGATTCTTAGACTCAAGATTTTGAAACTGTGCTACTAAATGGCTGGAGAATAATGAGTAGCCATATTGTCAAATGTGAGATTAGCAAGTATTAGGGATGTGATCAAATGTATTAGTACCTAATTGAAGGTTTTAAGAATAATGATAGGAAGAAAGGTTTGGTTTTATTTTTTTTAAGTGATAATTCTGTGTTAGGAATAAACACAAAGTCCCCTAATCATCTGCTCCCTGTAATCCAGCTCCAAAGTACTGAGAGATTCCTCATGGGACTCATTTAAGGATTCTACTAATTGAAAAGAAAGATTATAGGTCTTCTGTATGTGTTTGAAGTAAAATACTTTATATCTGCCCTCTATTTCATTTTGATTCCCTTAGTACAAACTACTTGAGGATAAAAAAGAAAAAAAAGTTCTTCCTAAATGTTATATAATTTTTTTCCCTAAATGATAAAGATTTTTATACAGATCAAACAAGGTTTTTCAATCTCAGCACTATTGGTACTTTGAGCTGAGTAGTTCTTCATCTGGGGTTACTCTGCATTTTGGAAGGTGCTTAACAACACTCTTGTCTTTATCCACAGATGTCCTTACTGCCTCCCTTGTCCTATGTCACTGGTTGTGACAACTATAAATGTTTCCAGATGTTTTCAAATGTCCTCTGAAGGCAAAATTGCTTAAGATATTCATGCACTAGGCGCTGGTGGCTCAGGTGTAAAATCCTAAGCTACTAAGGAAGCTGAGATCTGAGGATCCTGGTTCAAAGCTAGCCTGGAGAAGGAAAATCTGTGAGACTCTTATCTCCAGTTAGCTAACAAAAAGTTAGAAGTAGAGCCTTGGCTCAAGTGGTAGAGTACTAGCTTTGAGCATAGCTCAGGCACAGTGCCCAGGCCCTGAGTTCAAGCCCCAGGACCCATTAATCTGTTTTAATCATAACTAAGATAACAACTTTCATTATTTCCAAAATTAAGTTGATGCTCTCATATTCACCTTTGGGAGGCCTCCTAAATACCAGTTTGTGAGCTTAGTTAATCATATAATTCCACAGATGCAAATTAAATGCCTACGTTTGATAGAGACACACATTTGGAACATAATCTGTACAGAGAATTCAATATTCTGCATTTGTCAGCCTATATATAAATTCCTCAAAGACCAGGGGTAGTGGTATTTTACCTCCTGCCTCGACCCATTCATAAAAACTCTTTGCAAGAGTTGTCTTTCTAAATCCACCCAATAGATTCTTTCCTTCTGGTAGTGAAAATCCATGATCACGGAGGTGCCAGCATCCACCACCAACTGCTTGTGATTCGTTCCTTCCGGATCAATCCTAAAGATGCCATTTCCATGGGAGAAAATCAAGAAAGGCGCAGAACCTGAGCGGCAAGAAAGAAGCAAACTGTTTTATTTTCATTGATATTTCATCTGATGCAGACGAAATACTTCTTCATGACAACCATCACAACAGAACTAATATTTCCTTCCTGGTCTTGTTTCTTTTTTGAATAAAAGCTTTTTTATAGGAAATATAGAGTTCCTATGGATATGAAAATTAATTTTGTAAAGCAACTTCTTGATCAATTCATCCCAAGAAATGAGGATTGCCAAATCATGAAAAATGAACTAGTTCATGCCATTTAATTATCATCTATAAAATGCCTTATGTCCAGAAAAAAAACAAGTAATTTATTCTATTGTGGAACAAGCCCATATGAATGTCAATTTGAATCATGCAGGTTGAAAATAAAAATGACAAGGAAAGCATTATCTTGGAAACAGACCTCCTCTCCTCCAGTTTCACTTATGACTAGAGCAACTGCTTTCATGTCATAGAATATGGTTAAAAAAAAAACCTAGTGGCACTCTTATATGGTAGCAGGGGTGGGGGAAAAACAAATGAAATACTGTCTTCCAAGAGTTTGGAAATACTTTGACTGGGTTAGCATTATCACCTAAACTTCAGGATACTCAGCTAAATTTGGATTGCATATACAAATAAAATAGTTCCAGCCTCAAATTCTGATGTCTAAAATGCTCCAAAAAGAGTCAATGCCCTTTCTAGCTCTTTCCTCTCTTGAGGTGGTTTGTCAAATGTCAGGACATCATCACTTCACAACTGTGTAATTGACTCTAATTCCACTTTCTTCAAGATTCTCTTCATTTCCTTCCATTGTCAGTATCATTTTCTGTAAACCAGGCTAAGTATTTATAGGTATGAAATATGATATGATTTAAAGCAAAATGAAACAGTTGAGAATTAAGATTGACAAAATTATCATTATTCTGTACTGACCTGGAAATGTTACATAAGTTAGTATCTTTCCAGAGCTGCTGAGAACAAGGTACACAGAGGGTATGGTATAGTATGTGTATTTGATTGCATGTATTTGGACAGTAAAAGCTTTCTCACATCAAAACCAGGGTTATTTACTTGGGGAGTTCAATAAGGAGGAAGTACATAGATGATCAAACATGATTTCTAAGGAACACAAACTAAAGGCACCAAAGAGGTTATAAAAAATCCATTGAAACCTCTGACTTCTCAACCTCATCTATTACTAGGGAATCTTCAGGACTTAGAGAAGCATCCAGGAGGTTTGGAGCATACCGAAGATATTCTTTAGTGAGTACAAAGAACAGAGAGGTCTCCATTGCACTGGAGACGGATGACAAGAAGCAAGCGTTGAGTGACATGAGCTGCAGAACCAACGTTTCACAAGTACCTCTGGATCCTCTCTGAAGCTGTAGAACTGGCCTTGACAGGTCAGTAAGAACTGCTAATGATGGCCTCATGAGGACTTGGGAGCAAAGGCTCATGGGAGATAGCTGCCATATAAATGAAATCACTAGATTACCAAGAAAGATGACAGACACCACTGTCTTCCCATACCATGCTCTATATTTGAAAACAGACTGATGGGTCACAAGATGAAGACTGTGTAAAGCGAACGTTTGGCCATCCAAAGTTCAGTGATATTATGAAAAAAAGAGCACAGCTCTGAACTGAGCGGCTGTCTCTGATAGAGCCTGTGGCCTCTTTTCCCACTACACCTCTCACCTGGTCAGACCAGAGCCCAGCCATTCATTACCCTTTTAGGCAGTGATTATAGTTCCAGTTTTATAAATTGCGGGAAATTTTATTTCATGCCGAAATACCATCTCATCTCCTTTTTCAAAAATCAATTCTGGTGTTTAAAAAAGCCAACATTTACATTTTGGGACAATACCAGCTTTCTTCTCAGCTTATTCAAAGTAATGCTGGGCACTGGTAGCACATACTTGTAATCCAAGCTACTATTCAAGAGCCTGAGATCTGAGGATCAAGGTTTAAAGCCAGCCTGCACAGAAAAGTCTGTGAAACTCTTATCTCTAAGCAAGAAACAGCCAGAAGTGAAGGTGTGACTCAAGTGGTATAGTGCTAGCCTTGAACAAAAGAACTAACAGAGGGTGTGTAGGCTCTGAGTTCAAGCCTCAATTCTGACACGTACACACACACACACACACACACACACACACACACACACAAATTCAAGATGGGTGACTCAGATATTCTCCACCCAGAAGGAGGATCCAGGAAATTCAAGTTTTCACTCAGGAAAGGACATTCTAGCACTTGACTTTCTTCACTTCCTGAAAAAATGTGAATGGAGATCATCACCCCAGACCCTAAGTCTTGGTTGAAATGTGATCTCCAGGCCTTGCTGTTCCCAACCATATCCCCCCATTCAGGGTTTCAGGCTCTCCAGGACAGTAACCCAGCTTAGAAGGTTCTGCAAAATTGGTCTTGGTTCTTTCTCAGCAGAATTTCTCAGTGGTTTAAGGTGCCTCGACATATTCTCACCATCCAGGGTCATGAGTGGTGAATAGTATCTCAACAATCGTTGTCTGTGGAGGATCAAATTGAATGAACAAATTCATTTATTTAATTGGATAACACTAGAAGGTAAGCACTCGAGTCACCTCCATTTTACAGGGGAAAAAGTGAAAATGTAGAGCAGTCATTTTCCACATAGGATAGAGCTGGGTCAGTATCCAAGCTATGTCCTTCTCAGCAGATCCTAGCTTCCAGTAGCAGGCCATTCTGCAGGCCCAAACTGAATGAACCAGGATTCCTCAGTCTTCAGTGTGTTGTACTACAGCTGTGTCAAAGAGGTCACTCCACTTAATGCTAAGCCTGTTTCCATAAGGCAAGATTTTCTACTTCCAGGTCCCAGGGGCTAATTATAAGACCCTTTAAAAAGATTCCTGTGACTATATCCCTTGGATAGCTTCATGCCTAATTCTACAATATATTGTTGAATTGTAAGGATGTATTCTTTGCCTTCCTTGCTCCTTTTCCTGACTCCTTTTTCCATCTTTGACACTAGAAGTATAATATCTTTCATTACCTGATTTCTTTCTTTGAAAAACAGCTCTCTCTTCCTCCTCCTCTTCCTCCTACTTCCCTTCTTTTCTCCCTCCCTCCTACCCCCTGTCTCTCTCTTGCCATTTTGGAGTTTGAACTCAAGGGATTCTCTCTTGCTCAGCTTTGGTGCTCATATCCAGTGCTCTATCACTACTTGAGTAATGACTCCAGTCCAGCTTTTTTCTGGTTAATTGGAAATGGAGTCTCATGGACTTTTCTGCCCTTGGTGGCTTTGAGCCATAGTTCACCAATCTAAGCTTCCTATGTAGCTATGATTATGGGCATGTGCCACCAATGCCTAGATTCTTTGTCATTCTTGTCCCCTCTAGAAGTCATGTAACAATGAGAACGTTTCTAAGATCTGTTTTCAATCAGTTCCCTTCATGTATAAATTTTTTGCATAACATCACTTTCTCACTCATCATTAGAAAGTCACTTTCAACTCAGTGGATCTGGGTGGTTTTTTTGAGTAGCAGATACTGTCATCTGTTATCTCAGAAAACAAAATGAGTATCTTGGATTGCAAGCCTGAGCCAATGGCGCCTGGCTAAATGACTGTTTTAATGTGTGGTCCTGTGGGTTGAATGGCATTTGATCACCACAGGAACAAAAAGAATGATGCTTCTCCCCTCTGCTGTAATGTAAGAAAACTTCAAGGAGCCTCTGACTTCTTATCAGTAAGCTTAGTAAATTTGGTCTGAAATAGCAGTTCTCTGAACACAGCTGAGATTACAGGCATGTGCCACAATATTAGTATTGTCTGCAGTCTTTAATTTCTTTGTAGAAAACTTTTAAGCCTCTTGTTGAAATTTTTAAAAGTTAGACTTAAGAAAAGCAAGTAATAAGGCAAACACAATGGGCATGTTCCTGTACTCTCAGCTTTTCAGAAGACTAAAGCAGGACAATAACTTGAGCTATGAGTTCAAGACCAGCCTCGCTAACATATTAAGATCCTACTTCAAAAAACAAAAATAAAAACAGAAAACCAAGTTGTGTGGCACATGCTTGTATCCTCAGTTACTAGGGCAGTAAAGGCAGGCACATGATGTGTTTGAGCAACCTAGGCACAAAAACAAAATAACAACAACACAAAAGAACTCTAATCACAACAGATGCTGGAGGGGATGTGGACAGAAGGGAACCTTACTGTATAAACTTGTTCAACCACTTTGGAAAGCAGTATGGAGGTTCCTCAAAAGACTCCACATAGAGCTCACCTTTGACTCAGCAATCCTACTTTTGGACATTTACCCAAACGATCACAAACAAGGCCTTACAGGCTACCAGCACAACTATGTTTATCACTGCATTATTTACCATAGCTAAGATATGGAACCAACCCAGATGCCCTTCAGTAGATGAATGGATCAAGAAAATGTGGTATGCATACACAATGAAATTCTATGCCTCCACCAGAAAGAATGGCATAACTCCATTTGTTAGGAAATGGAAAGACTCGGAAAAAATTATATTAAGTGAAGTAAGCCAGACCCAAAGAAACACAGGCCCCATGGTTTCCCTTATTTGCAATAACTAGTACATGTGTAGAACAAGCAGAAAAGGCCAAAATCTATATATATATGACCATATAAGATGATGTTAAGGGAAATGTATTTATAATGTACCATGTGATTTTTTTTGTTTTTTTGTATGTCCTCACCCCACAATAGTACCCCTGTTTTCACTGTATTTGATGTCGGTGTCCTGAATCTTGTATATATATTTCTCTAATTTGGGGAGGGGAAGGGAAAAAAACAAAATGCTGAAATAAGGATACAGGTTGACCCATTGTAACAGTGAGATGTACAAAACACTATGTTGAAATGAACTTTACAACTTCGGTGGGGAGGGATAGTTGGGGAGGGAAGGAATGGGAGAGGGAAAACAAAGGAGGAGGCAACAATGCTCAATAAGAAATGTACTCATAACCTTGCTCATGTAACTGTAACTCCTCTGTACAGTATTTTTGCA